CTAAAATTTTCAGGATCCTTTAAATACTCATAAATACTTCCAAACTCAGGATCCTTACCCAGTTCGGTTATTACAGTTTCTCGGGAATTTATTGTACATGCTGTGAGCATTGCCACCTTTACGGTATTACCTTGTTCATCTATTTTAATTCTTGATAGGGCATCTGCTACGATATTTTCCTTTCCGGGGGTATGCTTGATTACCAGATTATATTCTTGCAGCTTGAGTGCCCATCTTATTAACCTTGGGGATAAATTTTTCCCTGAGTACAATCTAGTTACCGCCGCATGATCAGAGTACACTGTTATTCGGCGCCTTTCCAAAATAGACTCGGAACTTTTGCACTGCTAACAGAACTGCAAGTGCCTCTCTCTCGGTCGCGGAATAGTTTCTTTGTGTTTGATTTAAAGTTCGGCTAAAAAATGCCACGGGCTGCTGATTTTGCGAAAGTACCGCTCCTACCGCATAATCCGAAGCATCCGCTGAAATTTCTAAATTCTCATCCTTTTCAGGAAATTTCAACACAGGGGCTTGCGTTAATGCTTGTTTTAATTTTTCGAAAGCACTATTGGCTTCGGCCGTCCACGAGAATCTTGCCTTTTTCCTTTTTAATTTTAACAATGGTTCAGCGATAGCTGCAAAATCTTTTATAAAGGACCTATAATATGAACAAAGTCCTAGAAAAGAAGAGAGCTTCTTTGCCGTGTTTGGAGTCGGATACTTTTGTACAGCGATTATTTTTGATTCGTCTGTCTCGATTCCTTTTTGAGATATTTTGTAACCTAAATATTTTAATTCAGGGGCTGCAAATTTGCACTTTTCGACATTAACTTTTAGACCGGCCTCATTTAATAAAGAAAACACCTGTCTTAAATCCTGTACATGTTGGTCGAGATTATCACTAGTAATAATGATATCGTCTAAATAGATAAATGTGGACTTTCCAAGAACAGGTCTTAACACAATGTCCATGCATCGCTGAAATGTTGCCGGGGCCCCTGAAAGGCCAAACGGCATACGCAAAAATGCATAAGTGCCAGACTTGGTTATAAAAGCAGTCTTAGGCACGTCCTCAGGCCTAACCCCTATTTGAAAATAACCAGTCGTTAAGTCTAAAGTCGTCATAAATTTGGTTGATGATTTATGTTCCTTAGAATTTCTTCAATGATCGGTAACGGATATACCGGATATTTAGTTATGGAGTTTAATTTACGGTAATCAATAGCGAATCTCCACCTTTTTGGATGCGTCAAAGGATAGTCATTATTTTTCTTACATAAAACCACCGGGCTAGCATAACTACTTGAGATGGGCGTTATGATCTTTTTACGTAGCATATCGGTAATATGCCATTCTATAATTTTTTCCTTATTCTTATCATACCGGTATGGTTTTTGGACGAACTGGCATTGCATCTCCGGTGTCAATACTATGGTTAGTAACCTGAGTAAATCCTGGAATATCACTAAATAACGAAGCAAATTCACTTACCACTTGTCGGATTCTTCCTTGCTCGTCATTAGGCAGGTGGTCAAGGTTTTAACATCGGCGGTTCAGCCTTTTCTGCACGAACTGGTTTCATTGTCAGCTTAAGGGACGCTTCATTAAAATCCAGCGTTAGCTTGTGCTTCTGAAAGAAAATCTATTCCTAAAATTAAATGTGCTTGCAGATTCTTTACTATAAAAAACATCACCTTTACTTGTTCGTCCTTGATACGGATATACAAAGGTACTTTACCTACGCACTTACATTTTTCTCCTTGCGCCGCTAACACTGTCGTATTATCCGAATTATATATGCGGTATTTTCGAAAATACTTCCTAAAAAAATCTTCTGCCACACAGGAACACTGCGCGCCTGTATCCAGGAGTGCGGTGGCTGGGATATTATTCACCAACACTTCAATCTTCGGAAGAGTCAAATTTTTCACCATTACTGTATTTAACTTGTAGGAAGAGGGGTTTTCGTGGCCTTCGGATTTCCGCACCCTCTCGTCAGCAGAAATCCGTTTTAGTTTAAATTATTTTTCCTTTCCGTGCTTTCCTTCTTTTTCCACTGGCCTTGAGACTTTTTTCCTGGGTTGCTATTGAACTGTCGACGTTCGCCGGCTGTTTTTGAATGCTCGGGTTTCCTTGCCCACTGATTCGCTTTTTCTCCGTAGCCGTGTGCTTGAGTTTGCTGTAGTCTTGGCGTACCAAATTGGTTTCGCTGTTGATATTGGCGTCTTCTTTCGACGTCCGCCGTTCTTCTACTTTCAAACTGGATTGCTAGCTCAAATAACTTTTCCAGTGTAGTCGGATTTCTTAATTCAATAAAGTCTTGCACTTGGGGCAGTAACCTCGGCAAAATCACTTGAATTATTTCAGGATCCGGACGGTTTCCATACAAGAGCTTGAAAGACGTGAATTTTTCTTAAAATAAAGCTCGAGAGGTTTTCGATTCTTTGTTGATATATACTGAAAAGTTCCGTTTCTAATTTCGCACGATCCCTTACAACAGGGAAGGCTTTTAGTAGGGCAGTCTTGAAATTTTCGTAAGTATAGGTGGGACTTCCTGCTTGACCCAAGAGACTTCTGCCTATACATTTGAACCAGTTAAGCGCTTGGCCCCTCAAAGCGCTGGTAGCTAAGGTAACTTTTTGAAACTCGTGCACGGGGTAGAGCATGAAGTGGTCATCCAATTTTTCCAAAAAACTGGTTACCGGTGAGTTTCCATTAAATGTTGCTTCTGGTTTCATCGAAGCGCGCATGGTCTGGACGATGTAACCAAATCCTTCCAGGGCGGCAGCTGGCATTTCTGGATTCTGAGCCGTTTCTGCAGGCAGCACAGGTTCTTCTTGAAACTCGGCCATGGTTATTCTTCTTCGTTGGGCGCCACTATCAGGTTCAATGTTCCTTCTTACCTTCTTCGGGAACATGCAAGGACCTGACTCGGAACAGAGAGCTTACTAAAGCTATGTTCACTAATTGTGGGTAAGTAGACAGGATACAGACGAAGGGTATACAAAACCCTTTATTTTTCTCTATATACAATAACTTCCGTACTTCGGAATACACTGACCCGCTACTTGGGGTCTAACGTAAAAAGTATAAAAAATAAAACTAAACTCTAATTTAACTTTAGAATAATAAACGTGGAAGATTGGCCTTATATTAACAGGAAGCGTATGTAGTACACAGAGAACTGTGAACACTACAATACGTTTAAATTTATCAAGAGGATTAAAACCTCTGGCCTGGAAGGCAAAACAGCAACTGCGTAAAACTTCTAAGGTAAGCGGCCTGCTTCGACTCACTGCTTCCTCTCTCTCGCTTGGCAAAAAGCCACAACTTAAATACTTGGCGTTCGCCAGACAAACTTTGCATATAAAAACCTTAACGCTTATAATTCTGGCCGGAAGTAGAAAATAAGAAGTGATAGTAAAGATTCAAAATAAAAATAAACGTTAGTAAAACTTAAGATCCTTACATAGGAAACGAAACTTTTCCAGTTGCACTGGCCAAAAACACCAGGCTATGATTTTTTATACAATGTTATAATGATATTAACTTCATCGACTAATGTACTTTCGACGTTAGTTATAAACAGCTGTAAAGCAAACATAAAATACAACAACTGAAAGACAAAATTTACTTCTTGAGCAGAGAACTTCTAAAAAGTTTTAGAATTAATATTGCACAAAATATCGAAATCCATATTTATTTCTTAAACATTCAACATAGAATCCTTATATGTCTACACAACGTTTGGCACCTGCTTGATTCACTTATCTTCTGGAATGCTGCTTTAAGTTTCTTGTTAGAATTTTCCGAATATCTTAAATGTTACTAATGTTACTAAAACTACTTAAGTGTTACCAAAACTACTTAAATGTGGAGGAGAGGAGAATTTAGTCTACAGACCAAAATATCTGGAAAATAAAGTAAGTGAGAATTGTATTATTTTTCTCGTATCGTCGTTCTGCAGAAACCAGTTATTGGATTGAATGTTTTCAGATCTCAACAGGCAGTTTCAGGCTGTGCATTCTTCAGAAATCTGTCCAATGAATCTTTACAAAACATGGCATTGGTTTAAAATTTATCAAGTATAAATTCCTTGTGAGTTTTACCTACAATCCAAAAAAAGGATCGCAAACACTAGCTTTAACCGAGATTCCTGAAACTGAGGTTTCTGTGATTGTGGTGAGCCTTTTCCAGCAGAAAGAGATGACTGACGTTTTGTTTTAGAGTTATATAAGCAAAGTATGAAGTGTCTATCGCCACTAACAATTTGTTCGAAAATCAGAATTAATTACAGCTTTGAAGAAAACCTTTGCTGTTAGTCTTTGTTGAGCTATTGATTGGTGACCTTCAATGTTCATTGGATGGAAAACATTGCATAGAAAATTCTATCCACAAACAAGCGATATTTTAGATAAACCAAAATTCCTAAAAAAAAAAAAAAAAAAAAAAAAAAAAAACTCGTAAATCTATCTATTGCGTCTTTATCAAATAATGAATTCTCAATCTGTCCGTCAGGAAAACATCTCTTATAAATTATCCTTTTGCAATCCAAATTGGTGTCCTACATGGAATTTGCTTTAGACTTTGGAAACCGAAGCTTCTGTGACCTCGACTAACCATCTCCATTGCAAGAAGATGACATCCGTTTTGTCTCAGGATAATCAGGTATCAAGTTTTATCTCTATTCACAAGACGTTTGGAAATTTCAAGAATAATTTTACCATTTGGATCAAATAATTGTTATTCTTTTTCTCAGCTTTCGAATTTACGACAGCAAAAATTCCATCTGTAAGCAGACGAGATTTTCAGGAAAGAGAGATGGAATTTCAGGAAAGAGCAATGAATAATGTCAATTATCGTTTGCAGGATCTCTGGAGTTAATTAAAATGATTAGTTGCTAAGACCTTTTAAACACACTATATTATATTAACGCATGTTTACTTGTATCATACATAATTATGCTATATGGTGAAATATTATGCTCTAGCTGAACTTACCGTTCCATTCGTTTCAGATACTTTCGTCGACAACCCACGGCCCCAGTCTGGTCGGATTTGGAAAGGATGAACAATTTCATATCTTGTTCCCAGCTGTCTGATGACGTTCTGATTTTGCTCGTTCTGAAGAAGAATTCTCAAGTCTAATCCACGATAAAAGAAACAAAGAAAAAAAATTCCTTATTCTAAAGTAATCTGGAATTAAAATATATTTTTATTATTTCAATTTTTGAACAAAAAGAAGTAAAGGGAAATACGAGGGCTATCCAGAAAGTAGATTACGTTTTGGAATAAAAAAATAAACAAAGTATAGGAAAACAAATTTATTATATACAGATGAAAGCCACACTCAAATACTACTTTTCTACATAGTCCACCATACAAATTAAGGCATTTATCGTAGCGATGTACGAGCTTGGAAATTCCTTCGTCGAAAAAATTCGGCCGCCTGCGCCTTCAACCACTTCGTTACCTCTTCTTGCCTTCCATCTTGCACAAAACTTGTGGTAACCAAGCTTTTCGCTGATGATTTCGTGCAACAAACTTCGCGAAATTTGTGGAAAACTCAAAGAAAGTTCCGTTATTGTGAAATTTCGATTTTCACGGACTTTAGCATCGACTTTTTCGAGAAGTTCGGCGGTCACTATGCTGGGTCTCCCACTTCGATCTTCGTCGTGAACATTGGTTCGGCCATTTTGAAATCTTATGACCCACTGACACACTCCACCTTCAGTGATAATGTTGTCCCCATACACTTCACGAAGCTGCCGATAGATTTCTATCGGTTTACAGTTTTTTGCAGTCAGAAACCTTATTACTGAGCGCACCTCGCAGCTCGCGGGATTTTCAATTAACGCAGACATTTCAAACCGTCACAGTATCTGAACGGAGCACAGCACGAACCTCTCACTAGCACGGCTAGATGCAGACTGAGCTGCGCAACGCTCTGACCCCAAGATGGCCGCGCTAGCCCCGCCCCTAGCGGACACAGACGGAAACGTAATCTACTTCCTGGATGGCCCTCGTATTTTAAAGAATATTTTATATTCATTTAACAGTGTAAAATGGCATTATTGGGGTGTTTTTATCACTTGGAGAAAATGTATCTATCTCCCGTTTTCAAAATCTTATTTTGATTTATTTATAGGGGTTTACTTTAATTTCCTATTTTTGACTAAGCTTTCCTTTAGTTTCTTATTCTTCACCTACAGTTAAATGCCAGAAAGAGTTTTCAGGATCGCGTTGTGGGGTTCCAACCTTTTATTAACCAGACAAGTGCGTAGGAGCCTCCTGAACAGGTAAGCGAATATTCGGTTTAGTTCAGAAACAGATACGTAAAACTCAAAAAGGGTTAATAACCATTTATTTCTCAAAATAAGAATTTCGTAGATGGTCCCTTTCTCAGGATGTATTGCAAAGCCTCCACTTGGGCTTGAACTCAAAGTAATAACAAATGAAAATTAACGTAAGCGTAACTTAACGCTTCGGCTGTATCTTTTAATTAAATTTAAAGTTTAATTAAAAGATATAGCCGAAGCTCTCAAGATTTCTAAGCAGTTGGCCCCTAAATATCAATTAAGCTGACGAAACTATCAAAGGCCTGAAATACGGCCGAGCGTAGAAATTAGAAATAGCTTAGGGAAAGTGTAGCCAAAAGGCAAACGTGCTTTAGTCAGAATCTCTGACTGTCTAACGAAGTCAGTGGAACTTCGATTTAAATACCGCTCTTACTCATTTGCATTAACAGCAATTCTAAAAACACATTCTGGTAGGAAATTGTAAGCTGAAATTAAGAAGGATAGGAAAGTAGCTTTAACTAAAATAATTGTTAAAAACTCAGAATAAACATTACAGCGTTTTATGTAAATGAGGTAAAACCAGTATTTAATTTGAAGTGTCCGTCACTTCAGCAGAAGAGCTTAGAAATTCTTAGTGGAATGTGCTCTGCCTTCTGGCCACATCATAGCTCTATAGCCAAATCTTAGTACGTTCGGCCGTATTGTTACGTGTCTGCTAAGAATCGCTGGTAAGCTTGAGTAAGGCCCAACTCTGTTATTATTTCTGTGCCGCTTCGGCTGGTTTTTAGTTAGTTAGCATTAGTTTAGTTTTTTATTTTCAATCTTAAGTTAAAGCCCAAGTGGAGGCTTGTTGTAAGCCCGAGAGTGGCCATCTATAAACATTTTGAGTTGGATAAAACGGTGATTTTACCCTTCTTTGCACTTGTCATTGAAGCATTAGAACCAAGCGATCAGTTGCTAACAGTTCTTAAGTATTCTAGCTGCTAAAAGCTACGAAAATTATAAGCTAAAACAACAACAACCTTTGGACATTCCCTGCTCCGTGAAACTGATCACACTGCAGGTCCCTCCACTCCATAGAACCAGGCGCGGAGGTTCAACCTCCGCTCTGGCCATCAGAGAAAGAGACGCACCGCCCAGGAGAAATCTCCCAGATGGCACTGGTTGTTAATTTGCTACCTACCAGTTGCTCGGGCTGCCCGTCGCAGTGGGACATTACCCAACAAACCCCACGGGGATGTTACCCCACGGGCTACTAGTGCCACGCCGCGCTAGGACATGCCAGACCCCGAGGACCTTTCCCAGGGCCATCAGAACCACCAAGTTCATAAATTTTATACCCCCGTGGCCGTGACTGCCTAAGTACAGATCCTAGCCAGAAGCTTCGCAGAGTTTTCTACGTCGATTCTCGGGGGGGGGATTATAAGTTAAAAGTAAAATTTTGCTATAACAAGAAAAATTTTAATTACAAATGTTCCGCTGCTGATTAGATTAAACAGGATTCTGCTGCTTGCAACAGGATAGCAGGCGCCTAGAACTTCAGAATATCATATCTTATAAATGCTTGTAGTTATAATAAGAAAAGAGTTTTACGAAAAACGATCGAACAGCATTTTAATAAATGATTGTAATAAATTTTAAACTCACAGGAGCTAGCACATTCTTAGGATAATTATTTATACCGCATTTCCTGGCATATATTCCCTCTAGCGTTTTAGCGCTAGATTTTGAAAATAATAATAATGATAATAATAATAATAATAATAATAATAATAAAGCCATAATTTTCTTCTTGCTTTATTGTGCGTAGATTTTCCCTTTCAGAAGTAGTATATTAGTAAATTGTATTCCCTTGATTATTTTTATTTTTATTTACTGCATCCAGTTTGTATCAGTATTTTTATATTAACATTTCATCCATATTATTTTTCCTTGAATTCATTATTTTAAAAGTATTTTGTGCTGTTTATTCTCCATTAAGTTTCCCGGACGTGGCAGGTTGATAAAAATAAACACATAAAAACTTTCCAAACATGAGATTTCACCTTGCTCTTTTTATTTTATTTGTATTCCAGCTCATTGTAGCTTATCAACTGCTGATGTGTTCGATATTTCAAAATCTCAAAGTCTGTTCCCCTTTATTCCATCGTTCCTCACATATCTCTCTTGGGAAATGCAGTCGACTCATGTGAGGTGCCCATGGGGCTTTACAAACTAATTGAGCCGGACACGTCACATGGCTCAGTTATCGTCAGATATCGGCTATAGACCAGATATTCTGATGTTAATATTACTATGTATTCTTATTGTAATATGGGTTTCTTTTAAATAAATAATATTATGATAATTATCATTAGTTTATCCACGACTACTTTTCATTTGTTATGTTCTGACTGTAACTGTACTCTTCAGAAATTAAACCACACGCATAATTTTCCCCTCTCGGTTTCTAGACGATAAAATTAGTTAAAAAAAAAAAGAGGAAAAAGGAGTCATGGTATTTATAATAGAATTTATACTTTTTTAGAATCCTTTTAAATCATAGCAAGTACAATAGCGAAAAGATTATTTCAAGCATTAGTAGTTGGACAGTAAACATGGAACGTTAAATTCGCTCTATAAAATTTAAGAATTTGTCCTTTAGAACCACCGAGAGGTGAACGAAGATCACTGAAAATGCAAACAATCGTAATTCCTTTCAATGAATGCTTCAACTGAACGTGAATAAAACTAGCAAAGTACAACTAGAGTTATCCGAACTCCGATTATCCGATCACTTTCAGAATTTAAGAAAAAAATTAAGACGAAAACGTAGTGTTGGACAATCAACAATTTCAAACATTAAAAGGAGCAAACCTACACTTTTAAACTTCGTGTCACTGCTTGAAAACGAAGATGGAAGTTCTTCAAGAAAATCAATGAAGGCAGCAACAAACAAAAATTTGGAACATGTCGTTTTCAAGTGGTTTTTGCAGCAATGTTGTATAGGAAACCCAATTTCGTCTCCGATTTTTTTTTTTTTTTTTTTTTTTTTTTTTTTTTTTAAACTAAGATCTTAGCTCAGAAGCTTGGCTGCTCATCCTTTAAAACAAGTAACGGTTGGTTAAGAAATTTTAAGTGCAGACACGGTGTCCGTCAAACAAGTTACTTTGAACCAGATATTCAGCAAGCAATGACTTTCAGCACTTGTAAGTACTGAAGAGTACGCTATCTAACATGTATGTAAAAGTTTTGCTTTTTCATTTTAATTAATTAAAACCTCTCTTTCTTTAAAAATAGTTTTTTCTCCCATTTTCAACATAAATTACATACAGTAATTAACAAAAGTGTACGTAGACCCTTTCTTCGGAGAAAATTCAATTATCCGAATGGGGTCCGGTCCCAATTGATTCGGATAATTGGAGTTCTACTGTATTTCCAAAGTTCTGTGTTAAAATGTTTTGTGGTCGTTTAAGTTTAGATTTTTTAAAAAATTCTGCTATTGCACATATAACATTAGCGTCAAAATGACGACTAAATATAAATTGAGCTTATTTTAAACTTTCTTCTGAGTTGTACTTATTTTATTTAAAAACTTAATACTAGACTATTGCATCGTCGTCTGAATGTTTTCAAGGTTCCAATAATTCATATTTAAAGTATAGTTTAGATTCATATAGTTCAATGATATCTAATAGAAGCGGTTTTAAGCATTCGTGGATAAATTTGCGCCGAGATCAAACGAAACTGCCCAAGAATTATTTCTTGTTTATTTTCGTTAATTTTTACGTTGAACGTTTTCATTTGTTTGATATCAAATTGTAAAACGTTATACACCACCTCATATGCCCACCCCTTATTGCTAA